AGTTGAGCAATTGACTATTTTTGAACCCCTTCACTTTCACTTCCAATGTGTGTTTGGTGTAAAAAGGCAGGAACATTGAATCCAGGTAAATGACTCGTTTCAAATCCACGGTTTTTCTTCTACTGCAGACACAGAAAAATAACTCCTCAAACCGAGCAGGAAGAGACAGCCTACGAGTTCATGTGCTCCACCTGGATGGCTGAGGTGGAGACGGTGAGGCAGAGGTCTTTGTGGACCACCGGCAGGTCCGCCACAGAGACCGGTTTGTACTGGATCTCACCGGTCGCCACCGTCTTGTACTGATGCAGGTCAAAGGGGCAGGGAACCACGGCCTCTGATGGCTGCTGAGGGGGCTGGTAGCTGCCTGGAGGTCCGGCGTTTGGGTTCTGGCTAGTACTATTTGGGTTGGTCTGGTTTTGGAGCAGGCTGGCTCGTCCGGCCCCGCCTCCTCTCCCTCTGCCCCGTCCACGACCCCGGCCTCCTCCGCTGCCCGGTGTGAGGCCCTGGGCTTGCTGAGCGGCCACCGTGGCTGCCACTGTCAGGGGGTCTGGGTTGTGCTTCCTCATGTGTTTCATTAGGTACGTCTCCTGAGGGTGGGGGGGGAAACGGAAACAGGATGTAGAACGTCAACAATGTCAACAATGATCCTATTTAGTGGAAAACTTGTTGAGGAAATACAGTAAATGACGGAGCAGCTAGAGTCTGGAATTATCAGTCTACAAAACCGTCACAAAACTTTAAACCAGGATTTTAAATAAACAGAACAAAGTTGACGAGACCTGGAGACAAAACTGACAAAAAGTGAAGAACCTGAAACTCAGCTCAGGATTTAACACAGTCTGAACTGGATTAGATTAGATTACGCTTGAACACTGAGGTCGGAGGTCGAAGGTCGGAGGTCTTACTGAGGTATAGGATCTGTTGCAGAGGGCACAGGAGAAGAGTTTGGCGTGTTTGACCGTGTGCGTGGACAGGTGAACCTCCAGACTGGCAGCATCTGTGTAACCACGATTACAGTTGTGGCACTTGAAGGGCTTGTCTTTGTTGTGCTGCCGACGGTGAGACTGTGGGGGGAGGACGGGAGAGGGG